GGGGGGGGGAGAGAACATTCTGGCGGTTCGGTGGCTATTGAGAAACAAGTTTGACAGACCCGTACAGCAGATAATTAGATATTCTATGGAAGAGAACGGCAATCAAATTAGACATTATTAAAGTAACCACTTATGACCATAATATAGTTCTCCTCGAAATGTGTCAAGTCCATCAATAATTCTAGAATGGCTAGAATTACATTTTAGACGTGGAAAGGTTAGCCGCATACATAGGTCGCTGTTAACCTTCCTCTGTCATTTATTGACTTGGGGAAGATCTATTTAAAACAATGCTTAACTTTCCAACCCTATAAAGTAATCATATCAAACTGTTACACATTCTATTAAGTTAAATACGTTTTTTTATAACGACCCAACAATATGCCTTCCTCGTTTTATCTCCTCACATGTTTCAGTGTCTACGCTTTTATGTGATTTTTGATTTATCTGTGTGTGAGGCTTAAAAGAGAACTATGGGGTAAGTGTTTTTCCCCCATAGTTCTCTTTAGGGTCACGGGAGGACATATACTAACCTCCTCTTGTGACCCAAAGCTCAGTATATAGCGGGCTATTGCCAGCGATATACTGAGAGTGTTGTAGCCGGGACGGATCCCGATAATACTGTCTGGATCCACCCAGCTGCGTGAGTGACAGCGGGCTCTGCCTATCTAGAGGTAGAGCCAGCTGCGCCCACCCCCTTCCTCGCTCGTTCCTCCACTCAGCGCTGGAGGATCAGAGAGGGGAGGAGGGAATCCCCGCTCTCTGCAGGGAGATGATCAGGAAGTGAGCGGATCAGCTGCATGTTTCTGCCCACTTCCCGATCAATAGAGCCGACCTGCGACAGCTTCTTTGTCACAGGTCGGCTCTAACTATGAGGATGAGTGGAAATCACTCACCTCATAGTTCTCCTTTAAATTGATATTAAAGTCAAAAGGTTTTTAGTCCATTTCAGATGCTGATGGAATCACTTACAATGGATGCTGCTACTTGATCTTTTAGTTTTAGCTTCCTGCAGAGTCAGCTGGTCCCCTGAGCACTGGTCCTGCTACCCTGTGGTGTAGGGTGTCTCCTTTCCCTTGCAGGATCCTATGGAGCCACTCTTGTATGTGCTAGCAAGCTCTGTGTGTCTCCACAAATACACAAGAACAGCAAGGCAAGTCACTCCCCCCCCCCCCCCCCTTTTTTTTTTTGGGGTACACGTTTTTTTTTCTTTCAACATGGGGTCCCTCATCAATATTCCTACCAGACCTGAAGGGTCTGGAATGACCTTTGGGGAGAGGTATACTGAGCTTTGGGTCACGCGAGAACGTTAGTTTGTGTTCTCCCGTGACCCTTAGGAGAACTATGGGGAAAAGCCCTGATCCCATAGTTCTCCTTTAAGGGAGGGAGAGGAATCAATAGGGGACTGATAGGTTAGCAAAAAGGTCTAGTGGATAAGACGTGTTCAATTGGGGTCACCAAGGACTTTTTCTTTTTAAACTTACATTTTGTCTTTATTAATGTCACTTTTTGCTGCAGCAGGTTCTATACATCGTACAGATTTGCCACTTTACAGGCAGTTTAAGGGGACCCCCCAGGCACGATATTTAAATAAATTTTTCATTTTTATTGTTTCACTTTAAGCAATGTTAAAATAACTGCTCCTTTAAATACTGTATTTTTTGAAAGTTTTTTTTCATTGATACATGTCCCCCAGGACAGTACCCCAATCCCCATACACTTTTTAGCTTTGATTACGGCATGCATTCGCTGTGGCATTGTTTCCATAAGCTTATACAATGTCGCAGCATTTATTTCCATCCAGAATTGTATTCATTTTTCCACCAACATCTTGTAGTGATTATAGGAGAGTCGGACCACTGTGTAAAGTCTTCTCCAGCACATCCCAAAGATTCTCCATGGGGTTAAGGTCTGGACTGTGGTTGCCGATCCATGTGTGACAATGACCTCTCATGCTCCCTGAACCACTCTTTCACAATCTGAGCCCGATGAATCCTGGCATTGTCATCATGGAATATGCCCAATGTGCCATCAGGGAAGAAAATATCCATTGATGGAAAAACCTGATCATTCACTATATTCAGGTAGGCAGCTGACCTCATTTTTTGGGGCACATAACATTGCTGAACTTAGACCTGACCAACTGAAGAAACCCCTGATCATAACACTAAATCCAGGTGGTGACCTTTTTTTGGCCAGGCAGTGTACTTATCCAGTTGTGGACCTTAAGGTGTAAGTAAAGTTAAGAGGAAAAAAATTGGCCCCCAGGAGCCATTATGTGCCTGTATGCACAGTAGATTAGCACATTATGGCAGGCTTAACTGCCAAACAGATTCCCTCCGGCTGTGCGCTCCTTCCTCTCTTTCAGCTTGGTCCTTTTCTCGGTTCTGAGTCTTTTGCCGCCTGACTGGCCAGACCCTGATGATGTAACTTCCACACATGCGTATAGGAGTTACTTAATTTTGGCACGCTGGGTCTGTGCATTGAGCTGCACATGCGTGTACAGGACAAAAATACTGTATTGCCAAATGGTAAAGAGAAGCCTTTACAGCAGAAGAGACTTACACAGCAAGCCATAGAAAGAAATCTTGTTTATCCTTTACTTCCACTTAAAGGCCTTGTTCACACCAAACGCGTTCCAGGGGCAGAGCAGAGCAGTTACAGACCAAAACTGCGTCCAATGCATTCCCATGGTATTTTGGGCTCTAGCTCACACCGCAGCGTTCAGTTCCAGAGCATGTAAAAAAAAACACTCATGCAGATTAATTAGGTCTGTCAGAACATTCCTGCAGCAAGAATCAGCTGCTTTTTGTGACCCGATCCACAGGTGGTACCAGATGGCTGTGACTGCGCAGCCTGTACAAAGCAATGACAGGCTGACAGGAGCTAAAGCTATCTGCTGCTGTTTGCATTTATCCGCACAGGCAGCAGTTATCTGCATCTAGGGACTGATGTCTGACCCCAAGTGCAGACTGAGTGCACCAGGGATCTGTCCCTAGCCACAGGTAACTACTAGATCTGTAGATGAGCTGTTTTCCTGGTTGCATTCAATGGCATCTGACAGCCCTGAACCTGGAAGTGCTTGGAGCTGAGTGCTTCCAGGTTCATGAATCACAGGGGACATAGATGAACATTTCTTGCCTCCCCTCACTCACCATTCTGAACTTTTACTTATTTATTTATTTCTTAAAACTAAACTGAAGTCTCAAATCTTTTTGCCTCTCTATAGTCCTGTATTGGCATACGTTGTGTTTTTTAAGCGTGCAGAGGGCTTAAAATACCCTTTGTTTGTGAAAATACAGCTTCCTGCCCTCTCACTCCAGTTCTCTATGCTGGCAGCGCTGAGTGACAGCCACACACACCCAGCACCAGTATCCACACACAGACTTGTAGTATGGAGGAAGTGAGAGGGTGTGTCTGTGACTAACTAAATGCAGAGGGCAGTGAGGTCAAGCTCTGGTGCCCATGGGTTGAATTTATGCACGCTGCCCAACAGCTACAACTGCATAGAGATGATGACCATTGACATATTTCAAAAGTATCAGGTCCCATTGCACAATAGCCAGTGTGGCTTTACTTACCGCTGCAGGTCTTGTTGTAGATCTGGCTGTCCTGCGGATATCCCTTTAATTGACACTTGAACTTGTTTTGCCAGAACTCCTGAAACCAGGGGTTGCGCAGGTTGGTCTCCGGCTTGAGCTGCAGGTAATATTCATCGAACCATTTCACATCAGGGGACTGCAGCTTGATGGTCATTCCTCCGGCAGCCTCGCGCTGATAACTGTCTGTCACATCGTACCTGTCTGCCCAGCCGTCACTGCGGAGATAAATAACACGATAAATCCCTGTGCTCGCCAACCTATGATTGATGTTCTTATCTGCCAAACAATTTTATAATAGCAAGCTTATTAAATCCTTCGGCCTCCTCTCTGTGGCCTCAAAACACGCCAAGAACAAAACAAAAAGTCTATAAAATGCGCGTTTTCTGCCATGTGAAGAGCCAAAAAAAAAAACAGACCATTGAGCGTGTATAACTTTGCCAAATGGCCCTGGAACCATTGGAGCGCTCAATCATTTGCAAAAAAGAATGAACAGAGACAAGATATTGGCACTGGTAGAGCTCAGTATAGGGTGTTCTTTAATGTTAAAATGTATTCTGCTGATATTTCCTGGTTCCTCCTTTGCCCACTATAAACACGCTAATGATAGTTTTAAATAAAATCTTTCCGTTTTCATTACATACCTTTTTTTTTAGACCCAGTGACATCATCACTGGCTCAATGCAATGCAGGCAGGTCATGACTGGTGGGAGGGGCTGGCATGGTGTACATAGCTTCCTGTTTAGAGCACCTTGACCCCGTACTCCTCTCAAGGAGGAGTAATGCAAATATCACAATGCCTTGATGGGTGGATGTCAGTCTGGAGGAGTGGGCATCCCTAGATAGACTGTATTTGCATGCACACTGCCCTAGGTAGCGCCACATGTGATGCAGGCACATTGTAATTGGCTGCTGCTGGCAATAACAATTCCTACTCTAAAGGAGGCCACTTTATCAATTCATATAGACATCCATTTGGTATCCATAGCATCTTTTGAGTCCAATCAAATTCTTATCCCATTCTAAGCCTTGAGGAAGGGGAAGTGTTGTTCAAATTGTGAACAGTTAAAGGCAATTTCTGGATTCTTTCACCTTTTAGTTTGGCACCCTTCATTTCTGAACATCAAGCCCCTTCTGGCAGGGGTGTCACCCGGAGCGTTTACTGCCGTGATGTAACTGCGCATGTCGTCATCATGCACGTTCGCAATTATACCTGCCAGCGGCTATCATGGTGATGGACGCTGGCAGAGAGGAGGTGACGGGATAAGGTATGCAGCCGGGTCCCCTCCTCTCTCCTGCAACTGTTGGGATCTCGGTCCATGACCGAGTGCCCGCCTTTTTGGAGGGGGTGACAACAAAATAACTGTTAGTCTTTTTTGTGTTTCTACCTTCCAATGGTGTCACTTGGGTGCGAGCCACACACCCCACAGCCCCCTAGTGACGCCACGGACTTCTGGTGACCCAACAAGGAAGGCCTTTGGAAGCTACCTTGCAAGTGCCAGTAAACGAATTTGGAAAGGGAATGGGAAGTACACCTGCCCCCCATGAACCAATGAGATGCCTCATTATAGGTACTGGCCCTGACTGTATATTATCTAATTATAATTATTAATATGTAATAATCTAATGATAGTAAAAGTGTATAAAATGTAAAGCCGCTACCTTAAAATGACACACAAAAAAACACATTTAAGGAAGAACTAAACAAAAATCGAAACTATATAATAACATGCAAATATATTTGCACATACTATAACATAAATTGCAAATTGTGAAAACATAAGTCCGCAATAAAATCTTGATCCAACGACAACTTGGTGCACACAAACAAACCTTCCAGTGCCACCATCTATGGAAAGCAGATCACTGAATTTATTTGACACCTATACATAGGAAGGTCAGAAATGTGTTAATGGTCAATCCCAATATGATCCGGAATCCGTGATTCCACCAACAGTGGGTAAATAGAAGCTTATGAGTATATCCCACTTTCAATAAGGTAAAATGCGTTCAAAAACATAAAGGTGGAGAAAAGGTGATGACGTCACTAAAGACCCGCTCTACACGTTTCATCAATTAACTTCATTGAGGGCTTCATATGGCATGTAGGGAATGTCTTTAGTGATGTCATTACCTTTTGGAAAATGCTGATCCAGGCTTCAGTGTTGACCATAAGTGTTAAGATCTAGGCACTAGGTCACATGACCTTTGCAAAAGAAAAGGATCAGCCGGTCTGAACTTCGGACCTCCTCCTCAACAGAGATCACATGTCTGGAAGACTAGAAACACAAAGCGCACAGCTCACCCCTATCATGCGTCATTGCAATCCACACTCGGTGCATGGATGACTCTCTTCTGGAGTGATAGGCACAAGAACTGTAGAACCAGCACACGATGATCTTCCAAAGAAATGCAAACTTTATTACACATACATCTATACAAAGAACAACGCGTTTCTGCCTTACTCAGCCTTAGTCATAACATGTTTGGAGCCTTCGCACACGAGTGAACCATGGAGCAGCATTTTCTCCAGGAAAGTAACTATTTAAGACTTTCCAGTATTCTTTATTTTCATACAAAACAATTAGCATAGCATAGGGTCCAACTCTGGGCTTTGGGATCTTCTCTTCCTTGAGACCCCTTGTGTCTATTTTTTTTAATACTGTACTTACCTTTCCCAGATGTCTCCATACCGGTCATGTAACAAGCAGGGTCTTCTTCCCCTTCGGATATTCTCTTGGTAGTGGGTAGTCCTAATGGTGCGGAGAGTGGCGCTGTCCTCATCGCTCTGTATCATTATACTGTGAGTGCAGGGTGCCAATGTGAAGCCCCCTTACGTCCATCGAGACCTGCATACACATTAAAGTGACACTAAACTCAAAAAATACATTCAAGTACCTTAACTATTAACAAACATGTGTCTTATTTGTGTATCACTTGGCTGTAGAATCTAGATCCTCAAATCATCTTTGAATTGGTGCTGACACTGTCCTTCCTTCTGGAGGGGGGCTACTTTGTTCCCCATGGTCCCTGTGTGTGTTGTAAAGTAGTCACCGCTCCAAGCTCACTCCCATGATAGACTACAATCTCAATACAAATTAGTAAACTAAACATGATATTGTAGTCCATCACAGGACTGAGCTTGGAGCGGTGGCTACTTTTGTTCCCCATGCTCCCTCTGTGTATTGTAAAGTAGTCACCTATCCAAGATTGCTCACGTGATGGACTGCAATGTCACGTTTAGTTTACTAGATTGTATTGAGATTGTAGTCCATCACGGGAGTGAGCTTGGAGCGGTGGCTACTTTACAACACACACGGGGACCATGGGGAACAAAAGCAGCCCCCCTCCAGAAGGAAGGACAGTGTCAGCACCAATTCAGAGATGATTTGAGGATCTACAGCCGAGTGATACACAAATAAGATGCATTTATGTTAATAGTTGAGGTACTTGAATGCATTTTTAAGGTTTAACTCCTGAGTTTAGTGTAATTTCAAGTCTCTTGGTTTAAATTACATTGGGCATCATTCAACCCAAAAGACGGAGGGCATCTTGTGGTGAAAATGATGCTTTTTAATATCACCCTTGCTTGCATAAACAAAGCATTTGCACAGGTCTGACTAGCTAATCCACCAATCAGAGCTCACACCATTCTAAAGACAGACCAGTCATTCTAATGTTAAAATTGCCCAGTTCCCAGTCAGAGCCTGCTAGCAATTGATGACATTTTCAGACCTAGGAGCACATGATCAATGCAGAGATATAACAAAGAGGCACTGTACTTGGCAATTGTTCATATTTGAATGGAGTGTTCCTTTAAAAAGGTACCTTGCAGCCATTATTTCCAGCAGGCCTCCCCTTTAATTTAATCTCTCAGAGGAACTCATCAAACATTAGATTAGATTGGGATTTGGGGTCATCAGAAGTAAACCCAATAGCTCTCTTGAACGGACCGCACAGCGCACATCTCGCAGCTGCAAACAGGTGTTGGCGTCGCGCGGCAGCTGTGAGACATTACTGCTAATTTTATTTAATTAGCGCACGGTTATTTTCTTATTTTTCCGTGCAATAATTGTAATATAACAAAGTGCATTAACGAGAAAAACAAAAATAAATACATCAATTAGTTAAAACACACTCTACTTACGCAATTTGGTTTATGTTGTTCCCATCTACATTTTTTATTTACATTTTCCAATATAAATAATATCAATAATTTAAAGTTACACATTTAAGAGCCGCTGTGGTTTCTGTGGTCACTCCAGATGCAGGAAAGTTTGCAAGTATGCTGCAGCTCCCAAGCAAGACAGGCCTCCCTTGTTGGGTAACCAGAAGTGACACGATATTTAAAGGGGCTACGCACTAAAGGGTGAAGAGTTTGTAGGAGTCAGAAGAAGTGAACAATCTAGGACAAAATCACTGATTTTGGAAACTTTCTCCAATTCAGGTCATTTTCCAGTTCAGCTATGCTGTCCTAGATTGTTCACTTCTCCTGCCTTCTCCAAACTCTTCACCCTTCTGTGAATAACCCTGTTAGAAATACGTGGCGCTAAACCAAAAGGTGAAAGTACAAAAGTGCCTTTAATTGTTCACACAAAAGACAACCAATGTGTTTCAGGGGCAACTGACCCTTCATCAGCGCTCAGAAAGGGATAAGGATTTGAATTGACTTAAAAGATACTATAACCAAATGGATCTCTCTTTGATTTCCTCTTTAATGGATCTCTATATAAAGGAACTCCTTTAGTGCTGGTATTGTAACTGGAAGCTGCAGCCATCCCATTCTAAGCCCCAACGAGGAGGGAAGTGTTATTGCCTCCGAACCTGTTGGATAATTTTTGTTTGATTGAATTAATTCTTTGATCACTCAGTCGTTAGATCGAACAATTAAAGGCTTCTTTTGGACTCTTTTAGTTTGGAACCCTTTATTTCTGAATATTTATAATTTAGTCATGGTGGGTGGGAGGCAAAAAGAAACTCCCCCTATTATGACACTGACCCCCATACAGCCTGAAGGACTTCACATTGAAATGATTGGCGAACAGGGTACATACAGTATGAGCCAATGCAGAGGGGATACATTTTGAAGATTTTAGTCAGAGAGCGTCACAGTATATGATATATTTAACTTTCTGGGGAAGGGAGGGGGATGGGTAGAAAAGTGCACTTATTAATAAGGGCCTGGTAGGGATGAGCAGAGCCATTCTGTTTGAGATGT